CTCCCAGCGTCTCCCTTCAGACTGTAGGATGCCAATCTCTGCTTCTGGACCGAATCCACATTAAGTATATCGAGGATGTTACTCACATCCTCCTTCCACTTATGGGCTGTAAGAGGATCTGCTGACCCCTGGAACTCTGGTGCTCTCATCTTCTGGTACCTCTCAACCATACGGAGCCAAGCCTCCTGCTCTGTGGCTCTATCTGGGACTGCTAATGGAATAGCTGCAGGTGTAGCCTCTGGGAGTCTCTCACTGATAGGAACTGCTGATATCCCCTGCAGCTGATCTACTGATGGTGGTGGTGTTGGTGGCGCGACATGATTCGCCACAAGCTCCTTAATTGCTACCATCCTAGCTATGATAGGAGCCATGAGATCAATAAGATACTGGAGAGCCTGCTGCGGCTCAGGTGGTGCCTGTTGTAGCTTGGGTTGAGCTTGCTGTGGCTCAGGTGGAGCCTGCTGTGACTCTGCATGTCCATCTCTCCGAGTACGAGGTCTACCACGTCTTGTCATCTCTCTGGTCATAAGAAAATAAGAGTTTATGAGTCAAAATAGACATATACACATACATAGCATATCACAATATGATTAAGAAAATAAGAGTTTATGAGTCAAAATAGACATATACACATACATAGCATATCACAATATGATTTTTACAACAATTTAGTATTCACACAAATACTTTAAATTTACACAAAAAAAGTTATCATAAAAAAAATATCCTTAAATTTTAAGATATACGCATATATCGTCCTCACTCATACTAGGGAATTCTTACGGACTCTATACATGAATCCTAAGAAACTCTATCCTAGCTCCTCGACTCGACACAGGATGATCCTAAGGATACTAGAACTAGAGCTCTGATACTAACTGTGACGCCCCTGGATTCACACAAGGCTGCAGTCCAATGTGAAATCTAGAATGTTAAACCTACTATGCACCACACCGTGTAATGATATGTTTCACCATCATAATTACTATCTCTCTAGTAGAGTCAACAAAAGGTGTAGGTACAAAAGCAAGTAAAAAATAATACAGAAATCGACAGATGAAATAATAGGGATCAAATTAATATTCCATTATCTAGCATACTGAAGTATAAGTCAATGTCTGAAATAAATAAACTGAAGTACTCAACAAGTCTCAAATACAAAATATTTGACAAGAGGAAATAAGGCACATAGTCTTTACAACTTCTAGAATAAAACTCTCAAATGTCTAAACAAAAGTCTACAGTGGAGCTAAAAAAATATAACTAAATAGACAATTGAAGCTAAAATGCGTCGCCATCAACCTGCGACTCTCCGGGCTCCTAGCTCGTTACCTGAAAGGGGAAGGGACAACAAGCGTCAAAGTGCTAGCGAGCAACATCACAACCAACCCCAAGGAAAAGGGCTCGTTGCATTCAAAAAAATACAGTTAATACATATATATATATGAAATCACTGATCCTATTTAGGTCATTACAACATGAGCATAAGTATGTCGAGTGAAATAATCCAAACAAGGAAACCCTCATGTATATACCTTGTAGCTCAAATTGTAATTACCTACGTATAAAAAATAATCCAAACAAGGAAACCCTCATGTATATACCTTGTAGCTCAAATTGTAATTACCTACGTATAAGAGGATTTTAGTATTTAGGAAATTACAACACGAGCATAGGTACGTCGAGCGAAATAATCTAAACAATGAAACCCTCATGTATATACATTGTATCTCACATTGTAAATCCCTAAATACCAAACCCAAAATCTAAAGCAAGCACAATAATAAAAGAAGACAAACTTATCTCAGAACTTAATTACGGTGTCATATCATAACTCACATAAGTGTCATGTCCAGTCTATGCAAATATAAGTGTCATGTTTAAGGTCTATCTGGTGTCTAACACATGGACGAATAGGTAAATGTCCAACACGAGGACTAAAATGGATTATAGTCCAACACGAGGACTTCAATGGATTATAGTCCAACACGAGAACTGAACAAACTGTGTAAATATCGATGAGATATGTGAAAAGATATACCAATACGAAATTCACACGCGTCTCGGTGTGTAAACTTAAACTTGTGTCCACATGTTATCTCACATGTAAAGATACAAGTTAAACAATAATTTCTAATACCTGTTATTCGAGGCAACTCCTCGTTCATATTAAAGCACGCAACAACAATAAACAAGCATAAGCAGTTTCAGTTAAACCGAAACACCCCAAACAGATCCAAACCGAGGAAATTGGAAATGTCCTCATCAGTCGACTCATGAGTCGACTGGGATTGGTCGACTCATTGGTCGACCAGAGCAAAACACAAAACTGTGAATTTTCCTGTCAGTCGACTCATTAGTCGACTCATGAGTCGACTCATTGGTCGACTGAGCAGAAAATTCTCAGTTTTCTGCTTTCTAAGATTATCTGGAAAAAAATATTAACCTAAAGTTATTTTTCGTCATGTCCAGCAATATATTTCTGATTCTAACTCATGTGTATCAACAGAAACGAAAGAATTTGCATGTGATCACTTACATTAAAAACCTTAAACATATAAACATGTTTAAAACGTATTGAAAATAGTAAATCACATTAAAACTCATGTTTAAACAAATTTTCAGATCTGGATCTTAATTTACAAATTTGTTTGTGAGCTTTTTATAACTGAAAATATAGATCTTGCATCTCATAATATAAAGCATCTATTTTTATGCACAAAAATACGTTTTAGGCTCAAAAATCCGAAATAAAAACTCAAGAAAACTATACAAACAGTGGGTGAGGGCTGGACGAGATGTTACTCGCCTATGATATGATGCAAAAACTCCTGGATCTGCCAAAGCACGATCTCCTCCGCTGTACTGCACGAAATCCCGTGCAAACTCCTTCGAGAACTCCTCTAAAACGTCAAAATCCGAGCTAGGGTTTGAGAGGGAGAGATGGGGGCTAGGGTTTTGAGTTCTGAAGGTGTTCTCGGGTAGGAGATATCATATATGAACGGTCAAACCCGATACAAAATCAAACAAACCCGCAAACTTAAAGAAAACCCTAAATCAGCCCGTCAGTCGACTCATCAGTCGACTAATGAGTCGACTGATAAGTCGGCTGAGCAGTCTGATTTCCAGATCCGTGCATGTTTTGCTAATTTTGCCCAAAACCAATGCACACAACTCTATATAATTACACTCATACTTCTCTAATAACTTGTTATCAAATGTAATCTATGACCTCAAGTCATTAATCATAATAGAATTATTTATCACTAATAATTCACATATACTACTAACAAAAATGTGGGTTTTACAATTTCTCACCAACTGAAACCTTCCCAAATCGATCTACTCCTCCAAATAGCCCAAGCGTAGCCCGAACTCTGATACCAATTGTTGGGCAAAATACCAATTGTTGTAAAAAACCGTGTCGAGGAACCAAACCAATTGTCGATCAACGAGGGCCAAAACCAACCAAAATCAATGCACACACAAAACACCAATTTTAACGTGGTTCGGCAATTGCCTACATCCACGGGGCAAGAAAGGGTTGGGGTTTTCACTAATAGAGAAGAAGAGTACAACTTAAAATTACAAATCACTCGAAGGAACAAACTAATCTCACCAACAAAGCTCTTAATCTCTCCAAATAAACCCTAATCAAATAGCTCAGGAAATACCTCTTTTCTGTGCTCCAAATATCTCAAACTCTTGCCTTAAGAAACCCTAGAACGTGTATTGGTATTTATACAAACATCAAAATCAAATAAGAATATGAAACCAAAACTGGGCTTTGACCCGATACGCGGTCGACCGTCACGGTTGACCGCGCACAACGACAGAACCTGTAAATACGTTACAGGGTCTGGCGGTCGACCGCGGCGGTCGACCGCGCCCAAAAATCTCCTACAGGGTCACGCGGTCGACCGCACCAAGTCTACGCCCGCGGCGGTCGACCGCGCCCAAAAATCTCCTACAGGGTCACGCGGTCGACCGCACCAAGTCTAGGCTCATGCTTGAGCCTGTGCACGTTCGCGGTCGACCGGCCTTACGCCGCGGTCGACCGTGCAGCTCCAAAACAGTTCCCTATGGTCTCCCAACAACTGTTCTTCACCAAACTTCTCGCGGTTTCTTCGGCTTGATGTTCTTCTGCTAAGGAGATCTGAAGGTGACCAACCTGTGTTTCTCGTTGATAATTCTAACTAATGAAACTATAGATAACTTTTGCTGTATATATTGCACTAGAAGTATGGTGTTTATCATCTGGGAGGCATACCAGCACCCACAATGGTTTTGGGATGTTAATTTTGAGAGGTTTTCAGGAAGTCCTCTGCTGAAGTGCTTGTTTAAAGTATGACGCAAAGATGCTAATATTTAAGTGTTGCTCTTTCTTAAATTGTGTTATGTCTTCCCCTTGATCTTTTAGTTTGCTTTTTTACCTTGATTTGTGGCTGATTTTTAATCTTTTGAAGTTTTTTTTCCCCTGAGTTACCTTTTCTCTTTTTTCTCCCCCTTCGTATTTCTGATATTGCTCTACTCTTTTGGAGTTGGTGATTTTCTAGGCTGTATTGTCTATTTGTGTAATATTTACAAGAAGTTGTCGAGCAAGTTGTTGTTTAAGGGATATCTTTTCCTTTTGCATGAGCTATAATGCAAGATAACGCAAGTGCAAATGGAAAGTATTGCCGTTATATAGTTGATGATTATTACATGGGAATTGTTTTTGGCATCTGAAAACTACGGTGTAATCGTCCAATATTTGTTGCTAGGAAGTTTATGAGAAGCACATTTAGTGTGTTTATGTAATCCTTTAGATGATCCCCATTTGTATGTAAATCATTAGTAAGGTAAGAGTAAATTACTTTCATAGACAATATAAGTTTGTCCTTTCCAATCAATTGCTCTCTTTGGTAACATTACAAGAAAGAAGAGGATTAGCATAAGTTGAAAGGATATATTAATGCTATAATTCTATAAAGAATTACATATAGAACAAAATTGCAACAACTCCTTAAAACCATTACACGTGAAACGCCGATGGCATGACAGCGACTATATTGAATGCATATCAGAGACTGAAACAACTTGGTAATAGAAGTATATGTATTACTACATTGATCATGAAAACTGCTTTTATAAGATCTTTGGAAGCTTGACTGCGAGGTTAATCATCAGTTACGTACAACGATCCAAGTAATACTCAATGTCACGATGAAATCACAAAAATCATATAGGACAGCAAATCGCAAGCCACGACCATGAAGATCATCAGCAAATAGTTCTGCATTCTCCGGTGCTTCTCATAACTCGCTTACGGGTTCTTATAGGGCTCATGGTATCCAAGCCTTTTGCCAGGTTTGGACATGCAAGTTGTATTAATTTGGAATTCTCTGATTACATTTTATGATACAAAACTTACATAAATACAATGCAAATTGGAGCAACTATCAGCATGAAGTTGTGATAGAATTCATTATTCCTTCACAATCCAAGACACAACCACTTGACAACCCAATACTTCTCATCTGAGCACTCAATGTCTTTAAAACTGTGCACACTTCTGCAGTCCTTGACTTCCCAGAATCATCAGACACAAATGCACAAAGCTCATTCCTTGTCTCAATCCAACTGCACCCAGGAATCTTCTTGATTCCCCTCTCCTTCATCAAAACCCTAACCCTCTCCACTTCATCCCATCTCCCAGCATCAGCATGTATGTTCGACAACTGTACATAATTGGACATCTTGTATGGCTCAAACTCAAATAGTTTCTCAGCAGCTAAATTCGCAAGATCAGGATTTCGATATATCCTACAGGCTCCAAGAATTGCACCCCAAATACCTGCATTCGCCTTGATTGGCATTCTCTTCACTAGATCATAGGCTTGCTCTAATCTCCCAGCTCGACCAAGTAAATCAACCATACAAGCGTAATGTTCAGCTACAGGCAAAATCAAGTAATCTTTACTCATAGATTTGAACAGTTTCAACCCTTCATTGATCATTCCACCATGACTGCACGCTGATAGAACCCCAATAAAGGTGATCTCATCAGGACTAATCCCATTGGTCTCCAACTCTCTGAAAAGAGAAAGCGCCTCTTCTCCATAACCATTGAGCGCATATCCAGCAATTAAAGAATTCCATGTAACGAGATCAATGTTTTCCATCTCATTAAATATTTTTCTTCCTCTAATAATCTTTCCACATCTTGAGTACATTGTTATCAAAGCATTTCCGGCAAAAACATCGGTCACATAGCCACTTCTCAATAGAAGAAGGTGAAGTTGCTCGCCCACTTGAAGAGCAGCAAGATTGGCACAAGCACTAAGTACACAAGCATAAGTTGACCAATCGGGCTTCTTCCCTTCCTTTCTCATCATCAAGAAATGCTGAAGAGCCCCGATGTGGTACCCATTTTGAGCGAGACCAGAGACGATCGAATTCCAAGAAACCAAATTTCTATCCCTCATTTGATGGAAAATCTCGATTGCTCTATCGATTTGATGATTCTGAGCATACCCTGCAATCATAGTATTCCAAGAGACCCCATCTTTCTTTGGCATTCGCCTGAATAATTCCATAGCCTTATCCATTCTCCCGCATTGAGCATAACCAGAGATCATCGTATTCCAACAAACAATGTCTCTTGCCCTAGTTTCCTCGAAAATTTCAAGTGCTTCATCCATTCTCATACTCTGAACATACCCATTGATCATTGCAGTTTGAGCTGCGACGTTCTTGAAAGGCATTTTATTAAGCAATTCTCTTGCTTCTTTGAGTTCCCCTGTACGAACATACCCATTAATCATTGTAGTCCATGAAATAGAATTCCTGTCTGGCATCTCTTTAAAAAGTTTTGATGCCTCATCAATCTGTAGACTTTGAACATAACCTGATATCATTGCATTCCAAGAAACCACATTTCTCTCGGGCATTTGATCAAATAATCTCCTCGCTTCAACAATTTCTCCACTCTTTGCATACCCGTTAAGCATCGTGACCCAAGAAACAACATTTCGGCTTGGAATCTTTTCAAAAAACTCCCTTGCAGAATCCAAATCTCCAATTTGAACAAATCCATCAATCATCAAATTCCAAGAAACCACATCTCTCTCCGGCATTTGATCAAAAAATTTCAACCCATCTCCCATTTCTCCATTTTGAATGTATCCAGATAAAACTGAGTTCCACCCTACAATATTACAACCAGGCATTTCATTCAATAATCTTATCGCATCTTCGAACCTTCGGTTCTTTGCATACCCTGAAATCATCGCATTATAACAAACCGGGCTCTTATCATTCAACTCATCAAATACAACCCTCGCTTTGTCTACTTCCCCATTCTTCATATAACAAGTAATCATCAAATTCCATGAGAAATCATCTCGCTTAGGCATTCCATCAAACAGCTGCTGAGCTTCGAGGACACAGTCATTGTGAGAGTATCCAGCGATCATCGTGTTCCAAGAGACCAAATTTTTAGACGGCATTGTGTCGAAAAGACGACGGGCTTCAGCGATTCTGCCATTCTTTGCGAAGGCAGAGATCATTGAGTTGTACGTGACAGTGTTGCGGCTGGTCATTGAGTTGAAGACATTGACAGCTTCTTCGATTCTGCCAGATTTTGCGAGCTGGGTTAGGGTTAGGTTTTGAGCGAAGATTTGGCTGCCTTTGCTTGTTATTGATTTGAGTTGAGAACTCATTTAATAGATGAGAGGAGAGTAGAGTTGATCTGGGTGTTTTAAGGCGGGAAGGATGAGTTAAAGTTTAAGTAGATGTTTGAGAGCTGTTTTGGTATTTAGAAATTTTGGGGAGAAGAAGTTTTTGACATATTAGACCACTATATCTTTGTTAATTATATTTGGGTTTTGCTAGAGATAGAGGAAGGTGTGGTGAACATAGAGAAGAAAAATGATAGGTGCACACTCCCAACCACAACCTCAACCACACCCCCTCTCATTTGCTACAGTACACCGGGCTCCACATGGGATTTTAAATTTTTAAAATCCCATATGGGGTCCGATGCTCTGTAGCAAATGTGAGAGGGGGTGTGGTTGAGGTTGTGGTTAGGGGTGTGTCCCTAGTGCCACCCGAGAAGAAAAATGATAGAGAATGAGTGGGAAATATATGGCCTCACTCATTCCCCCTCCCCCCGTCTTCTCCCTCCTTAATCACTTAGCAAAAACTCATTGTATTTGGATTTTGCTCTTTGTATTTCTAAAACATACCTAAGCTTTTAAGTTGTTCTAATTGGATACATAGTCAGATTTAATTGCAAATATTTTCTCTCTACTTTTTTTGTAAGTGTACCTTTCTTCTCTTATTACTATTATTACTACTACTGTTGTTGCTACTTTGTACAGTTGGGATCTATTGTAGGCGTCTAAAAATGCCTATAGGTATCCACACACAGCTCGAGACAGAGAGAAGGTGATGAACGCCATTATCTAAGTCTAAGGGGATTATCCGACGCTGACGAACACATGAAGCGAATCAACGAACTATTGATGACGTGGCCCACACGCTCACTGACCACCAAAATAGCGTACAGATCAATGAAATGACGAAATACGCGTAACAACAGAACAAGTCAAAACCCGAAAAACCAATAAAAGCCGTTGGCGGCCGAGCCACATCAAAGTGAACTGGTCGAACCAGTGGTTCGGCCCAAAGCCAGATCACCGAAAGGTGACTCTGCGACCGAGCCATCGGGTGACAATCGGCCAGATCTGATCTAAAACGTGATTTTTCGGTTTTGACTGATTCTCGCGGGATTTGTTGGTTCCTGAACGACCTAACTGATTTGATACTATGGTTAATCAGTTCTTAACTGAAGATAAGGAGGAATCCCTCGTTCTTATCCAAATACCCGCTTCCGAAGCTTATAAATACGAGCCCGGGTGCTCAATTCTCAGGGCTGAACATCAAGAGGGCGAGGTGCTGCTGGTTTCTCGAGTGCATAACCACGAATTTTAGCAAGGGTTAGCAGATCTCGGCGATCTCCTGTGCATAAAGAGTAGAGTTCGAGAGATTTGAGACCCGTCCCCTATTCCTCCGGATTTAAGCTTGGTCTTAAACCTCGAGAAGAGTCGTGGTTTTGCTTAGTCAAAATCACCGCTACTGCAATTACTTCCTTCGTGAAGTGAGAGCATTGATCATCCAACTTCTACTAACCGGATCTGATCCGCGACGGTCCATGGATATTAACGTTCCCGGCACAGGCAAAGATCCCACGCAAGTAGCGGGTGGTAAACGTCCGTTGCGCTGTTTGACAAGAGTCGTATTTTTTTGTATTTTCATTGTATAAGGAGATCTTATAAAAAGATCAACTTTTATTCGAGTTTATTGTAAACGATTAAAGTTGTAATAGATTCAATCACAATGAAAACATCGATTTTTGACCCAAACAAGCTGGCGACCATATTGGGAGCCAACAGCTTCGCTGCCGAAGCTGTCGTGCCGCAACCACGGATCCAGATCCCGGTTGAAGAAGTGGTCGAGTACAAATTCGACCAACTGAAGTTCGAGGAGTATCTGTCCTCCTCCTCCTCCAGATCCTCTGCCCCTCGCAAGCGCAGGAAGATCAAAGCCCCTGTTGATGCGGTAGCTGCACCTTGCAACGCCCTTCCGGCCTCCAACGAAGCCAGATCTACAGATCTGGACTCCTCCTCAATCAAGAAGATAACCGATGTAGCCGCACCAACTTTATCAAAGAGGGCACGCCAAAGGCAACACCAACGACTTGCACGCCGATTTGCTAAGGTTTTGGAGCCTGTTGATGAGATTGGCTATGAGGCGGACCTGAAACGCAGAAGGCACCAAGTGCCCCAGCATCAAATAAATGACGTATCCTCCAAGCCAACAGCGAATGAGTGGATCCAAGTCAAAAGGACCCGCTCAACCCTCGAGGAGCGCATTCAGAAGCGTCGCGTCTTGATTGCGCACACACGAATTCTCGTGCGAGAAGCGCAGAAGCTGAAGCAAAAAGAGGTGATTAAGAAACCACCAAAATCACGCCAAATCTGGAAACTGAAGTCCGAAACAGCGTTGACAAAAAGTCAAATAGCACCTGGAACTGCCGAAATATGCAAACCACCATCTAGTGGCTCGGCCAAAACCGAGCCACCAATTGGTGGTTTGTGCCGGTTCGCGCCCGGTTCGGTTCGGTTCGTGTCTAGTTCGGTTCGATTTGCACCTGATTCAGTTCGATTCGCACCTGGTTCACCTCTCGCGATCCCGTTTAAGCCTCCGGCAGCCCATGTTTCTATCCCGATGAATCATACACCTCCGGCAGGGCCCCGTGACAACGTGGACTTATCCTAATTCAAGACGAGGATGACGGATCGCCTGGGTCCTTTGTACGAGGATCGAGGCAAAGTTCCGATCAAAGAACGCTTGGATCCGGTGACTGAACCCCAAGCAACCACTCGAGCTGGGGGTCACACACACCCTCGCAATAAGTCAGAACCTTCCTATAATTGGAAAACACCTGCACTTGACCGCCTCGGACGACGAATTGAAGTCCAAGAGCCCGTCAAGAGTTCGCGCTCCCAAAAGCGTAGCTCCAAATACGTGACTCTTAAGAACGCCAATAAAGCGGTAAGCTCTAAGAAGGAAACGTGTTCGTCAGACGACAACGTTATACCTGAAAAGTCGTGCCAACACGCGATAGGTTGCTCCGGTCATATGACCGACGAGTTTTACTATCGGGTGGGGGGTACGAACAAGTCTCGGAAGAAAAGTACCCGAGAAACAGAATCTCACTGCCCATGCGTTAAACTTATCAGGACGGTATTATCAGTGTGTAGCTGCCCCAAGACCGCTCCACAGAGGGTCTCGGTATTTGAGAGGATCTCTAACGGAGCGACTAAGTTGAAGACAAGACGTTTTCGCAAGAAATGATCGTCCGTTCAAGGTGATGAACTTCCAGAAGTCACAATAAATATGGCTGATAAGGGAAAGTCAATTCGACCTTCTATCTCTGACCCGCTTCTATCGTATCGTCTAACCCGGTTGCGATCGGGAACTATTAGACAAAGGGATTATCAGAGAATACAGAGGGGATTATCCTCTGATGATGAAGCATCAGATGCCAACTCTGTAGTCGTTTCTGACCAAATGGTGTTCAGTCCAGGACAATCGCACGAGGCATTCATGATCAACACCGAGCAAATCGCCAAAATTCTCGAGGATGCTCGAGGCATTCATGATCAACACCGAGCAAATCGCCAAAATTCTCGAGGATGCTCTAACCAAACAGAAAGAGGCATTCAAGATCGAAATGGAAATGGCTATGCTACGAATGAGGGAAGAGCATGACCAACAAATTCGGTCTCTGTCCAATCAGTTCGGTGAATCCAGCCGTCGCAACCTTGCTGACCAAGTAGGTAGCGATTCAGATATGGATGAACATCTCGATGCTGAGAACCCTCCCGTTGACCAAAACGCTGGGGGTGGTCCTACCAATAATAACAACACTGGGGGTGGCCCCGTTATTCCTCTTAAGAATCGTCCAAGCCCCGATACGAGCGAGGATGAGAAAATGAAAGATCTCGAGAGCAAAATTAACGCTCTGATGTCTGCTTGAGAGGTAAAAAGGACTGGAATTCCGTGTCCATATCTAAGGGAGTGGGATTCAATAGCATACCCGGTGAAGTTCAACCTGATTAACTTCATGCCGTTTGACGGGAAGGGTTCGCCCACACAACATCTGATCTACTTCAAGTCCCACTTGGGTATGATCTCCGGCAATGAATTCTTGATGGTTCGGTCATTCGTTAGCACTCTACGCGGGCCCGCCTTGGATTGGTACCGCCATCTTAAGTCCGAAAGTATTAATAACTGGGAAGACCTGGAGAACTTATTCCTCACTCATTTCTTTGATGATGACGCTGAGGTGTCAATCAGGACACTCTTTGATGAGAAGAAAGAAGACGACGAGACGGTCGACGACTTCGTCAAACGCTTCCAGAATAAGGCAATGAACTGTCGAGATCCGATCACAGAGGACTTCATCCTTCAAACCTGTCACAACAACCTCTCCTTAGATGTATTGGAAGTTATGGGAGTAGCACCATCCAACAACTGGAAAGAGTTGAAGGCGCGCGGAGAGCAGGCCGAACGCTTCCTCAGAAGGAAGAAAGCCGAAAGAAGCCAACCGACGGCTAACCCTCCGAAATCAAATTTCGCCTCCCGTGGTAAAGGGAAAGCACCTGCAGCAGCTGTTGACGCTAACCAGACGTCGCAACAGCAACCCCGAAGACAGCAGAAGACTTGGGTTCGAGACTCCAAAAAGAGTACTCCTTCAAGGATGAAGACGTTCCAGCCATCTTCGAATCCCTCCTTAAAAACAACAAGATCAAGCTACCACCTATCGCAAATCAGGAGGAAGCTGACAATACTATGGATCCAAAGTATTGTGCGTACCACAGGAGGGTCCTTCATCCCATCAAAGATTGCTTTGCTCTCAAGAATAGCATCCAAACCTTGGTTAAAGCCGGCGTCATAACGCTGGGATAAGCCAAATGAGAATGGTGACACTCCGAAGAGTATACGAGTATAAACTGCTTCTCAAAACTCCAACAGGTATATGAGTCTAAACTGTTTTCTTTCTTTCACGGGAAGTTCCTGAAGAATGTCATGCCTGGTATTCTTAAGGATAACCTGGTCATCCAATTAAGTACAATATTAGAGCCAGTTTCACAAAGGAAGCTGGGGGTGGGTGATTCATGTAACGGGAAGTTCCCGGAAGAATAATACATGTAATTTTCTTAAGGGATAACCCGATCATTACGAA